TAAAGAATCCCAAAAAACAGATTACAAGGAACACTAAATCACACAAATAGGTGACAGAGCTAATCCATCAATACTCATTTCAAGAAGATTAAACTTTTTTTCTTCAATAAAAGTTAATTTATTGCTGGTTTGCCCAACCAAAAAAATGATGATTTTACGAACAATCAAACACATGGCTGTGGACCTTGTGGATTAAGGCGTATCACATGATGAAAAAGTTCTCTGGCAGTTTAAATCATGTACACAATGATATCTAAGAACTCCATGCAAAAGAAACAAAATAAATAGATGATAGATAGATACATAGATAGATAGATAGATAGATAGATAGATAGATAGATAGATAGATAGAGGATAGATAACAGCAAGGCTTTTGAGCTTGTATTCTGTTCCTGGGTCAAGGGTATTTACTGACATCTTTAAAAGAATTTATCATTAGAAGGTTATATCATGTTTATTTTTCCTTTTTATTCAATCTGGTTTCCATACCACTGGAATACTTAAAAGAAACAATCACAAACTCTGCTGCAAGCTTGCTATATAAACTCTGTGTATTCCACACAAGCGGAGACACATGCTGAAGGATGAAGCCGTCATCCAGACACGGTGCCTCTGCCATGTGGCCGTAGCGCTCCCCCCAGTCACACAGACCACTTCCCGTGCGTTGCAAAGTTGCAGAGATCAGCACTATTCACCGCTAGGGAACAGGCATGAGGACAGCACCAGTCGAAGGACAGTCAGAGCCCCTCTTACAAAGGAAATCATGAATTCAAGTGAAGTCCGGTTCATCTCAGATCCCGAAGAGAATATCAGGAAGTGATAACAGAGATGAGCACCCAGGCACGAGGTGGCACCCTCCTCGGCTGCAGCGGTGTAAAGGGTGCTGCTGCAGGGGAGGAGATCCTGCTGCAGCAGGTGGCACAGAACAGGGGGGTCGGGGCTGCAGTGAGAGGCTCAGGGAGACGCTGGGGACACAGTCTGGCCGTGCCTGTGTTCACAGTCTGACTTCTAAAACCCTACAGGTGTTAAAGAGCCACGGTCAAGACTACCTTGTTGGCAACAAGCTGAGCAAGGCTGACATTCTCCTGGTCGAGCTTCTCTACATGATTGAAGAGGTTGATGCCAGTCTTCTGGCCAGCTTCCCCCTGCTGCAGGTAACTATTCCACCACTGTCACAGAGGTAGCAGCACCCCATCTCCTATAGTGAAATATATATATATTGGTTGTTACAAGGTCTCACTACACAGCTCAGACTCATGGTAATCCTCCTTCTTTCAGCCTCCCCAGTGTTGAGATTACAAGCATGTGCCACTATGCCCGGACTCTGGCCAGCTCAGCCCACCTTGGGGGCTGGCATGGCATGTGGTGCTGGAATCGAACCATGGTCACTGCACTTGCCTAAGCTTGCCTAAGCAGGTGCTTTAGTCCACTGGGCTATCTTGCCAGCCCCATGAATCTCATGTTTGGATACATGGTATAGTCCTGACTCCCAGCCTCCTCCTTCAACCCCTTCCCCTACATCTCCAAAGCAGCCATCTAGACCTTGGATATGAGGAAAGAAATGAATCTTTTCATGCAAGGAAATCAGAGCTGCTCCAAGACTATTTACCTGTATAAGGAGTAGAACCAAGGGTCCTGCATCTCCCTCACTGTCCCCTCCACTCCCTTGCTAACCTGAGATAAAGGGGTTTCCTTTATCTAAGATGTCCTTGTCCTTGCACACTGGCCCATCTGAATAGGCACTGGTCCCTCTGCTCTCTTTCCCTCAACTCTTGCTCCCAATGCCAGGCATTGCGTTACCATGTCCACAGCTTCCCACCCCACGAATCTGCCCACCAACCATCAGTGTCCATGAATATCATTAGTGTGAAGGGTGGTTCTGTCTGGCCTCTGATTAATATTTTTTGTCTTTATTTCCAATTTGATCTTTTATTTCTACCTTTCTTTGCTTAAATACATCTCTCTGCTTGTATCTGACAGACACCTTGTTCTTTGTCACTCACACATGCAAAAGAATGACGGGGTTTATGTCTAAAAAGATCAGGTAGAGGACTAATGTTTACAATATGCAAAGAGTTCAAATGCTTATCTCCTCCCCCCCAAAAAAAATAAAAAACCCAGTTAAAGCATGGGCCATTGAAATGAACAGATCCTTCTCAGAAGAAGCATAAATAGCTACCAAGTATATGAAAAAAATTCAACATCCCTGATCATTAAAGAAGTGCAAATTAAAACAGTATTGAGATTTTTGTCCCATTCTAGAAAGAAAGGCTGTCATCACAAAATCAAATAATAACAAATGCTGATAAGGCTGCAAGGGGAAAGGAACCCTTCTACAATGCCAGGAATGTAAAATAGTACACCTGTTTTGGAAATCAGTATGTAAATCCTCAAAAACTTAAACTAGAAATTCCATCTGGCCCATCTATGGTCTTGTAGATAGCCACCTAAAAGCATTAAAGACATGTGAGAATTGAAAATGGTGGAGTAGGGCCAGTGAGACAGCTCAGCTCACTAAGCGCCCACTTAGGTAAGCACAGGGACCAGGGTATGATCCCCAGCACCAAATGCCGCATCAGCCCCACCCCAGGGGCACACTGAGCCAGCCACTGAGTCCAGGTGTGATGATGCACGCCTGTAATCCCAGCATTGGGGAGGCTGAAAACAGGAGGATCACTATGAGTCCAAGGTGCATAGTGAGACCCTGTACCAAATACATTTTTTTAAAAAAGGAAAAGAAAGTAGTGAAGTGCCAGGAGTTGACTATGTGGATTCTCCAGAACAAAGTGCCCAATGTTTGGAGACCACAGCCTGGAGAGAAATCAGAGAGAATCTGCTGGGCCATATAGGAACCATAAGAGAACTGACACATGAGAAGAAAAATAGTAGGATTCATTGCTGTAGAAGAGATGGCTCATGGCTGCACACCTGAGGCTGTGCAGTGTCTCCGGAGCAGCTGTATGGCTGACCTGGTGGTGGGAGTCAGTGAAAGCAACTTTGCTCCTCGCTGGGAGACTTGGTAGGGGAGAGGCTGGTACAGTTAAAGCAGCAGGGAGAACAGGAGACACTTTCCCCAGCAGCCCATCCTGCAGTCATGGGCTAGTGAGTGAAGCAAGTGTCACTCAAAGGTGCGCAAGGAGCAGCCACCATGGGCAGAACCATCATTTGGTATCAAAGCTCTCAGCCTGGAACTCAGCAGCAGAGAAGCCCCAGGGTCACCTCAGGGCCAGTGCGGGAGTGAAGTGAAGTCCAGTCACAGAAGACAACCAGCAGCTGGCCAGCAGCCTGGGGGACCTTGGCTGAGAAGCAACAGCTGGGGCCCAGATTCTGTCCCAGCTGTGGCCAGAAGCGAATCTTAGCCTAGTTACAAAGAACTTGAAGCAGCCCCTTCTCTGCAACTAGTGGCACAAGCTAGCAAGAGGCTGTGGCCTGCACTGGGACACAGACTGCCCAGCTTTGGCACAGTGGTTTAAGTAAGAAAGAGATTTTGGCTGGTAGTGAGACAAGGGCATGAAACTGACAAAACAAACAGACCTAATGATAAGTGGAACAGATTAGAAGAAGATGCAGAATCAACTTCAAACACACTCTTCCACCTTATCTTTGCCTAAGGGGCCAAAGACACTCACTATAAGAAAGATAGCCTCTTTACTAAATGGTGCTGGAAAAACTGGCTTTCCACAAGCCAAAAATGTGAAGCAGACCCATGTATATGGCCATGTACTAAACTAAAACAGAAATGGATCAAATAGCTGGGCATGGTAGCACACACCTGTAATCCCAGCACTCAGAGGTTGACGCAGGAGGACTATTGCAAGTTTGAGACCAGCTTGGGCTCTACAGTGAGCTCAAGGCCAGCCTGAACTGCATAGTAAGACCCTGTCTCTAAAAGACCAAAAAAGCAAAAATGGATCAAAGATCTAAATATTAAAATAGAAACACTAAATCTTCTGGAAGAAAGAATAGGTAGAACTCTTGAAGACATAGGTGTAGGCAAAGACTTCATGAACTAAAAGCAATACTGGAGGGAGCAAGGAGAAAAGGACACAAAGAATTAAGGATTATTACGTACATATACCAATTCCTTACAAATACTGTGACCATTACCCATTAAAAACATGTACTAATAAAAAATTAACAGTTGGAAAAAAGAAAGGCAGGAAAGGCTATGACAATTTTTGAAAGATGTTCAAGGAAGATGCTATTGAGCTATGTGTTCTCCCTCTTATGTTCCTTATGAATGGGTGTCTGTTTCCAGTTCCACACTGGTAATAGTAGAACCACTCAGTCTTCTTTTCAGGAAGCTGTAGCAAGATTTCCAGGGTTTTCTAATCATTGTTTTGGACTTTAGGATTCACCACTGAGACTGTGATTTCTGTTTTGCAGGCCCTAAAAACCCGAGTCAGCAACCTGCCCAATGTGAAGAAGTTTCTGCAGCCTGGCAGCCAGAGGAAGCCTCTTCCCACTCAGAAAATGATAGAAGAAGCAAGAAAGGTTTTCAAGTTTTAGTCCAATCAGCATTAACCAAAGGCGTGCATAGCAAACATCTAAATTTTGCAGTAATGACATTGTTCACTTCAGTGTCGATCCTGAACTTTATGGGACAATAGTCCATTTCTGATTGCATGTGGTAATGGCCTAATAAAATTCCTCTGAGAAGTCTTAATTGTGACTTTTTTTTCATTACGATCAAGTATGAAATCAGATTTTGAATGTCTCTTGGAAGTAAAATTCATTTTCAAAAATGTGAATAATAATATGGTTCATATTATAGTCCCCCAAAGATGAGAAAGAAGTATCCTCCACTTGGTGGTCTTGAGTTGGGGCCGGCACCTTGGCCCTACTTGGCAGAATATCCTGGAAATTTAATTTTCCTGAGAAATGAAATAAACATTGAAAGTTTTTTTAAAAATTGTCCTATCGTATCACTTATACAGTCTATTAATTAGAAAAGTTTACAAGTTTTTATCTAACCTCCTATGTACAGAAAATAGCTATTACTCTTGACAATAATATAAAAAAGGTTTTCAATAACGAATGTGCTCTATACTCACATCTAATGTGCTTCATAAAGTGTAGAGGTTCCCGTCTATTCTTACCTTCATCCAATTCATTGAAATCCTCACAGGAAATTTCTTCAAAAGGCCAGTCCTTGGTGATTTAGAGTCAAATGAATCTAGTGCCTTAAAAAGTCATATAATCCAATTCTTTTGTGAGAATAGGGTGACTTGTAATTCTTCTTAAGGTCCAGTATGGAAACTTGAGGTGCTGGAATAGAGGACAGGTTTTTTCCATAAGTGAACTCTGCCCCTGCGTGGCAAGGACTTCCTCAAATGAGCAAATGGTGCAAGAATCCACAGGAGGTCACACCGGACTGTGGAGCCAAGAGAGAGAGAGCTCCTTCAACAAGATCGGAACTGATTCCCTTTCTGCTCCATTGCGTCATGCCCTCCTATTCAGATCACTAGAAAAACAATTTATACTATACCCTTAGTGGAGGAAAAGCTTGC